ATACTAGGAGTATTATATAAATTTATATTTTTTGTTGTGAGTGATAAAATTTTCTCAACCAAATTATTAATAATGTTTTATTTTTAGTTTAGGTTTTCAATAATTGTAAAATTTATGAAAACTAAAATTAAAAGTAAAAAATTATAACCATATTAAACCAAACATTAAACTAAGCCTAAAATTAATGTTTGGTTCTTATATGTAACAAACTAAGATCATTTTAGTCCTTCAATTTTTTAGTGTTTGAACATTTTGGAATTTGACTTTTCTTAGGTTTCAATTAGTGTTTAGATTAAAGTGTTTAAGGGGTTGGGTTTAGAATTTTAGAAAATAATTGGTCCACCCTCGATTCACCACACTTTTCAATATCATTATGATTTAGCCATTAAAATATAATATAAATACAATCAATTCTGTCAATTTCTGCATGCATGCATGACTATATCTTTAAGTTTGCCTACATTTAATTTGAGACCAAGAAATAATGATTTTTTAATAAAAATATTGTATAGTGTGTTAAATTGAAAGGTGTACCAATTAGTATCTTTAATTTTTTTTTTTAAGTTAAGTCCTTGAGGTGTTAGGGTTTAGTATTTATGGTGAGTTAGGGTTTAGATTTTTTTAGGGCTCAATGCTTAGGGTTCTAAGGTTTAAATTTTGGAGATTTAATTTTTAGGGTATTAGAGTTTAAAATTTTTGTAGGGTTCAATTCTTTGGATGTTAGATTTTTTTAAAGATTTAATATCTACGGTGTAAGGTTTAGGCTCTATTTAATATTATTGTAGTTTTAAATTTTTTGGTTTTGGTTTTTAAATTCAAATAGTCAAACTTAACAATTAAAAACTAAAATTAAAATTATTGGGTATCAAATTTTAAAATAAATACCCAAAACTTCAAATTTAATTAATTTTTAGAACTATTCAATTTTATTTTACGATTTCTAAAATTTTCAAAATCAACACCAAACACTTAAAACCACAATTATACTACATGGAGCATTAGTATTTAGTATTAAGGATTATAAGATTTTGATTTTTTTTTTTTAGTGTGTTAGGTTTTAAATTTTTTAAGATTGAATATTCAAAAATTTGAGATTTAGAGTTTAATAATTTTAAAATTAAAAAAATTATTAAATTAAAATGTGAAAAAAAAAATCTATACGGACCTTCGGCTTTGGGGACCAGTCTGGTCCCTATATCATTACCTAATTAAAAAATGTTATTACCTATTAAAAAAGTTAATGTTGAGAGGTTGAAAAAGTTTTTTTTTTTTTTTTTTTTCAATTTGGAGACTAAAATGAAGCTAGTGCAAAAGTTTAGGGACCAAATTTAGGGTTTTAAGTTTTCAACAATTGAATTGTGAAGTTTGGTGGCCAATTAGGTTTAGTAAGATGGCGGATTTTAGGGGCCACACGCGTGAATCAATATACAACCAAAAAGAGAAATATTGTTTTTTTAATAGAAAGTAGGGTATGAATATACTATACAATACATAAATGTGGAAAAATTTAGAGAAAATCCATCATCTAAATAAGTAGATTGGGGTTTTAGTCCTTGCAACTTGGCCAAAAAGATATCAGTGGCCGTAAGGAGAAACGTTATTAATAATAATAAAAATACTATTATTACAATATGATGTATTATTATAAATTTATAATATGATATATCATTATATAATTAACTCCTTTTATTCAAGAGTTTAGTTTTAATATTATATGTATTTACTCATTTAATATCATATTATATTTTATTTAATATCATGTAAAATTATAAATTTACAATCTTATATGATATTGTAACTATAGTATTACTGTAATAATAAAAAGTAACAATATTATAATTAAGGTAGCAAATTAGGTAAACTTTAAGGCAGATAATAGAAATACTTCTTATTGTGGTTGTAATTTTTAATTTTTTCATTGGTTAAAGTAGTACATAAGGTCGAAAACTTACATTAAATTTTTAATTAAAATACTAAAGTTTTATTACATTTAATTAATGTTTTAAAGTTGTCGAAATTCTCAAATAAGATCTCCATTAGATAGAATCTATTAAGTCCATTAAATATTTTGTTGACAAAATTAAATCTAACTAGTTAAATAACAAAATAAATCCCTAAATTTTTAATTTTATCTTTTAATAATTTTAAAATTTTTAGAAACCTCAAAACTTCCCTTAAACTAATTTTTTTTTGTTGATAAAGAAAATTTTTTGAGACTCACATTTAAAAATTAATTTTAATTGTTTGAAACAATTTATTAATTATCCTTTAAATGATTTTATTAAAAATTTAATTAACCATTAAAAAATTGTTTGAGTTTGTTTTTGCCATAACAAATTTTTTGAGTGGATCTCACTTATTTGCTTAGTAAATCCATTCATGGAAAAAATAACATAAAAATTGAGGTCCCCATATATGCCACATTAATTTTTAGTCATCGGTCCTACAAAATTTCCTCATAAACAAAGAGAAAAATAAATTTAAAAGGTTTTTGAGTTTTTTTTTTTTGAAAATTTTAAAATTCTTAAGAATTAAAATTAAAAATTTAGGGACTATATTTTTGTTATTTAATTGGTTAGAGTTAACGGGGTTAACAATCGATTTAAGGAATCTAATGGTTTCCATTCGAATTAAGACTTTATTTGAGAATTACCACTACTTTAAAACCTTAATTTAGCATAATAAAACTTTGAGACCTTACCTACAAATTTGGTGTAAGTTTGGACCTTATCCACTACTTTAGCCTTTTTTATTTTAATTTTTATAAATTTTAAACAAAATAAGAAATTAAATAAGCATGCATAATCAACAAATCAATGGTATAATGATTGACATACTCCCTTCCCTCTTGTCCCAAAATAATTAACTTTTATTACTATACTTAAAAATTAATAATTTATATAGATAATTACAATCAGTTATGTAATATAGTGGTAAAGTCATATGTATTTTTAAATATACATTTAGAGTTTAATCCCTAATCTTTGTATTAAAAAATACTTTATACAAAATTTATATTTTTATTAATTTTTTTCTTCTACTAATAGCAGAAATAAAAAAAGAAGCTAAATAGGAATAGGAGAGTGGTACGGACGCATGAGGAGCCTGATAGGATTGGGCCGAGCGAGAGGCGTACAGGAATGTTGAACAGGTAGGGCCTCCTGAGGTGAGGATTGAGATTGGAGAGGCTACGTAGAGCGGAAGGGTTTGCCACTGCAGGTTAGGGGTGCATGATGGAGAATGCCAAATGGAGTGTGGCTGTGTGGGTAGTGGTGATGAGAAGTAGATGGTGGGGAGGTAGCACGACTTTCATCAAAGCATTGAGGAGAGGGCAAGGAGGGCCCCTGTAAGCGGGGAATGTAGTGGAGAATCTTAGAAGGAACTAATAGGTCCACTCAAGGACGGAGATAGAAAAGGCCAAGACGGGCCGTGGCCTCCCAAAAATTTTAAATTCTTTGTATACCCTTAGGTTTTTTATTAGTTAGTCCCTCAAAAATTTATTTTTTACAAGTTAAATCTTTGAGAAATTTTTTGGCCCCTCCTAGTGTCTTGCTTAAGATCAGTCCCTGGGCCAACCTAAAAAGTCATTTTCTATTTTTAGTTTGTCATTTTTATTTTTTTAAACCACATTAAATTCTTTCCCGTTGGCCAAAAAGTAAAAAAAATTAAATTCTTTCACCAATATTCTTAAGGGAAAAAAAGAATAATATTTATATTGTTATATGTAATTTGTAAATTGAAAAAATGAGAACAATTGATTGATTGATCGAAGAGTGTACCTTACTTGAATGGCCAGTGCTTTCTCGAAATTACAAAAGAAAGGATGTCCTGGTGAGAGGCTTCTTCACGTCTTACTAGCTCTAATATACCTTCAAAGATTTTCATATGCAAAATAAAACCAAAATGTAGTAAATTAGTTAAAAAGAAGAAGAAAAGCAATCTAGGATTGATCTAATACTTTGGAGGAGGGGGAGAGTATTAATCCAAAGAAAATTGTAATTTAATACTTCTTTTATCTTAAAATAATTATTTTTTAAATTTATTTAATTAAAAATTTAAAAATATTTATAAAAATATTTATTTTTGTGATTGAATAATTAATTAAAATAAAAAAATAATGATATGATTTAGGTAAAAAAATATTTATTTATTTTTAAAAAACTATAATTAATTTAAAACAAATTTAAAATAAAAAATTATATTATAAAATAATTAAAAAGTGTCTCTGAAATTGACTTGTATAAAAAAATAAAAATACTTATAAAATTACCTAAATAACTTTAATTAATCATTAAAAATCACGAAATATTCATTTTCTTGTAATAATTCTCGTATGTTAATCTATTAAAAGTCTTTAATTAATTTCACAAGTATTATTACAAATTTTTTTTTGGCAAGTCCACCTGAAAATTTGCAACATTTATTTTATATCTACATAAATGAATTTGAAGAAAATATACAGGAACTAAAAATAAAATTATACCATTAGGCTTGGAACTGTTGTTTCCTGATCCATTCGAGAGTTGTTGAAGAAGGTGGAGAATACAGGTTGCAAAATGCGGAATAGAAAAACCCAATGATATAATCTGCAGAAT